GTCCAACCCAAGATTTGCACGACTCTGACTTTGAATGTTACAGTTATTGTGGCATTGAATTCCAGGGTGGAAACAATAGTTTAATTGTTTTAGTGACCAGAAAACAAATTTTGATATGCGTCGGCTTACCCAAAATGAAAGGTTACGTGCCCTTGGCATGCTACAGATCGGCACAACACAGGCGGTTGTGGCGCGGACGATGAATGTTTCTCAGTCTGTCATAAGCAGGCTATGGTCCAGATACCGTGATACACAATCTGTACAGGACAGACCACGCTCAGGTCGACAAGGGCGACAACTCAAGCCCAGGATCGATTTATCCGTACCTTGGCCTTGAGAAATCGTGTCATCACAGCAAATCAGATCAGCGCTCGTCTTCAAACAGACACTGGTGTGAGAGTGAGTGGCCAGACGATTCGGAATCGACTGCATAGGGGTCACCTTCGCGCCCGACGTCCTCGCGTGATCCCTTGTTTGAGAGATCATCACATTCAGGCAAGACGTCGTTGGTGTAGGGATCGTCAACACTGGGATAATCGACGCTGGAGCAATGTGATGTTTTCAGATGAGTCAAGGTTCACTGTTGATTTTTTGGACAGACGTAGGAGGGTGTGGCGTCGTCGAAACGAGCGCTTCCAAGACGTTAACGTAATCAGACATGATCGATTTTGGGGTGGTTCTGTTATGGTGTGGGGAGGCATCACTGTTGCTGGAAGAACGGCTTTACATGTTGTTGCAGGGCGTGTTACAGGCCAGTACTACCGGGACAACATCTTGGCAGTCCATGTTGTGCCGTTCGCACGACGTCATGGCCGCCGTTTCATCTTCCAGGATGACAACGCAAGATGTCACAGGGCCAGGATCGTTACAGGTTACCTCCAACAACAGAACATCACCACATTACCTTGGCCAGCACTGAGTCCCGACCTCTCCCCCATCGAGCATGTCTGGGACATGCTTGGACAGAGGTTACGTCAACGTCAACAACGTCCTGCCAATGTCCAAGAACTTGCTGCTGCGTTGCAACAGGAATGGGATAATCTGGACTAAAATGACCTTAGACGTCTCATTAGGAGTATGCCACGTCGGATCAATGCTTGTTTGGCAAACAGAGGAGGATTTACCCGTTACTGACTTGGTTGTGATGCTGTGGTAACTTTGCTGTTTGACCCCGGGTATCATTTTACCCTTATAATGGTCAGTCTGTGCCTTACTTAGTCTAACGATCATTTGAAATAAATCGATGAATGTGAACTTCATTTCATTTTGTCATTTGTTTCTTCGTCAGTTTCATTAGGTGACTTTAATAACACTTAAAAATCAAATATCCCCTACTTTTTTTGAATAGTATATATATGACAATAAAAACTTAAAGTTAAGATACAGTTGACCAATGTTTGTATATTCTAGATATTAGGCGTTTTAATCTAATTTTGATTATCCAAAAATAATTGACTATATCTAACCATAAAAACTGAAAGTTGATTTATAAAATGAGAGAGAGAAAGAGAGAGAGGGATGGGGTTTAACGTCCACTCGAAACAAACCTGTACGGGTCTTTAACAGTGGGAGGAAACCGGATTAATGACGTACACATACCGGGTATATTGTGAAATAGAGCACCTGTTCTGTTTAAAAACTATTCAAAATATTGACAGATTTCATTAATCTCACGCAGCTCGAATATTATATATTCACTTTGATCTATAAATGAAATTATTTTGTGGGAATTTAGCATTATATCTGTTGATAATTCCATTCATTCATATTGATCCAAAAACAGAACCTGCTTACAAACGACATTACACGCTTCGCACCTGAAAATAAAAATATGTTTAGGTATAATATTCATCAGTAATCCAATCCAATAACATAATTACCTATATACTATATAAATACCATGAAATCGAACATTGGTTTAGCTGTTAGCGATCGGGAACTTGGAGCGATTGGTTTTATCGGGTCATTTTTATATTTATCAACAGCGATGAATTTGTTAATGTAAGTTTACTTCTTTATTAATTTCATTCACACTTTTATATTTTTTTCACATTCTACTGCATTTTCCCCAACACGTTCCGCGTACAAATATCCGTTCAATTTTTTTTTTTTTTTTTTTTTTTTTTTTTTTTGAATATTGAGTCTTCGTCTCATTATATGTTTTAAATTTAGGCCACACCAATTTAAACATACATTATACAAGAGGTAAATCTGCCTATTGCAGATCTTTCTTTACGCCTGAAATGTTTTCTAAATTATTAATTAGACATTAATTAACTTATCCAGGCCATAATCAACTCTTGATGACATCGGATTTCTCCGATACTAAATAGATTAGAAAAGTTGAGCCATATTTTGATTTAAGTTAAAAATGGAGGAGCGGGGCGTAGCTTCGAACAGCCAGTACGGTGGTTGAAATTATTGCACACGTCTTGTCAAATCTCCAAAGGCTAATATCTTCGCTCGCAATAGAGTTATTTGAATAAAATTTTCATTATATTCATTTTGCATTATCTATTTTTGAGCTATTATAGTTGAATGAATAGCGCTTCATCTAAATCTTACATAACGTATCTTTATATTTTTTTTAAATTTCCGTTCTTCGGGCTCTTGATAAACTATGCTTTGTTTAAATTCCTTCGAAGACCAAAAGTTGTTATACGGGACCGCGCACGAGAGGATATCTTACAATTCAAAAAAATAGTTGACTGTCACTAGATAAGAGAAAACGAGAAAAATAGACAGTCCGTGCATTATCATGTATAGAATGAATAAAAACAAGTGAATGTACGGACTATTTCTAGTTTTCTCTTATCTAGTGACATTCAATTATTTTTTTGAATTGTTAGATTTCCTCTTACAGTCTCACATACACTCACCGAGAACACCCCCCCCCCACACCCACACACACACAAACACACCCGCCGTTGCTCTGAGCTAGTTATGGCCCTGCTCACATATCAACTTTTATTCTTCCACGGAATTATTAGTGAGCAGAAACTCGCCCATGTATCTGTTATCACTCGTCACGTCAGTCAGTTATATAGAAGGATAACTCGTGTTCTCCTTTTGCTTTCGTCACTTTTTTTTAAACCTTCATTACACATCTATCGTAGCAATGATCTCTGTGTTAAAATATTTGGAACGCGTTTGACCGGTTTTATCACATATATATGTGATAATGACTGACGCTAATATTGTCCTTTAAGGTCTTTTCATGTTAATTAATGTCTAATTAATAATTAAGTTAACATTTCAGGCCTAAAGAAAGACCTGTAATAAGAAGATTTACCTCTTGTATAATGTATATTTAAAATTTCAAAACTTAAAAATTTGGAACTAAAGTTTTTGAATTACTGTGCAACCACGTGCTATTGGTTTTCAAATTATTCTTTTTCCTTAAACAATTAGAAGCAAAAATTTTTAAAATAGGTTTTTCCTCAAGAACAGAAAATAAAATTGTATATATGTTTTTATACATGCACTTGCACTTTTGTTCCTGAATCAAGGACCCTTGACCGAAAGATTTTTTTTTTAATTAACATTGTTTACGATCATTCACTATTGAAGTTTTTTATGAATGAAAAACTGTTGTTTCCGCACGTCTTTGCAATATAAAAAGGATGCTTAATTTTTTGCAATGAAAAACGTTGACAATAAAATTTAGCTGATGTCACTATTGACAGTATCGTACGATAACGGATAAATTTACTCTGTTTATTTGATTGCACTATTCGGAGCTACGGTGGCTCAGTGAGTAAGACGCCGAATATCTAACCTGGAAGGGTGGTTGGATGGCCAAATGGTTAGCACGTGCGCGCTGTATCATAAGGTTTGTCATTGAGTCAACTGGTCGCCTATCCAACCTCGTGGGTTTTCTCGGGGTCCTTCGGTTTCCTTTCACTGCTAAAGACCTCTACGAGCAAGCAAGTGGACGTTAAACCCCAATTCTCTTCCTCTAACCTGGAGGTCCCGTTATCCTTATGAAAGTTCATCGGAATTTTTGGAGTGGTCTTCATTGTCAGTGATGCAGGGCGAAAACCGATATTCCGTGTACACGTTGACCTACGCGTAAAAGAACCTCTGACAGTTTAAATTCGGTATTAGAGTAGGCCGTAGTGTCGCTATCCGGGTAAAATTTCCCTCATAGCACACTGTATGGCGTATGCCCCACTTCGTTAGCCCCATTGGAAGTGTAGTGAGTCAGCGCTTACTGTACAGTCAGGATTAGTGCTAAATGATAAGGCCAGGTAAATTTTTCGCTAGCGTTAATCCCAACTATTACCATAACCCTGGACCTACTATCTCGCCAACAAACACGTGCCCTAACCTTATTTACATGTCAACGACCTTGGCAAAAATTGAGCTGGCCTCAACAAATAGATTTAGCCGTACAGGTAGAAAAAATACATTCGCCGTCATATGATAATTGGTCATTAATATTAATTACCTACATCAATATAACCTTTGAAGTTTTCTATATACTGCAGTCACCATATTTAGTAATAACGAGAAAAAATCCTTTTTTATACTGCACAAAACATCAGCAGGGCGGCGACAATAAAATCGAGGGTTATTTCTAATTCAGCAATCTCCCGTGAACCCGGGTCACAAACATATGCTCTCTCTCTCTTTTTAAAACGACCCAGGAAACATTAAAGGGGATTTTTTTAAACTAAAATTTCGTATTATTGTATGTATCATTTTCTATTTTTATCCTTATCTAAATAAACAAAACCCAACACCACAAAATATGCGATATGTTGATTTCTATTCATCTTTTCTTTTTCAATAATTTAAAAAAAATGTTAACAGTGCAACATTTAATAATGATTGACAGGTTGCATCTTTTTAAAGATCAAAGAAAAATTAGCCGGCGTATATCGACATTGTATCCACATGGGTTAATAAACACGTGATTAGAATTAAATATATACAGTACGTATATTATGAATCTGTTAACATGAAATGGTTCTATATTTTGGATATATATTATATATAATTAGATTAAGTGGATTTATTCTGTGTCTGACTGGTGTTAGTGAAGGGGCTGAAACCCATTTGACCCTGACCGTGTGGAATTATTGGTATGGAGGATTTGTTGCCGAGACTTGCTTTACCGCCCCTGCCGGTATGGATGGCTGGATCGTGAACATTCGCTTCGACCAAGATGTTAATTCACTTAACGTAAGTAAAATTTGTTTGGTGTGAACAGTTTGTTTGGTGTGCATAATTTGTTTAGTGTGCATAATTTGTTTGGTGTACATAATTTAAAATCCGATGGGATGTTATATATCAAAATCCCTCTGTGTTACCCGAGGAACTTCATCGGTCTTTTCCGACGTGGTTCCCCAGATCTGGAACGCAGGACATTTTATTTCTGTTCTCCCATTTGATTTAGTCTTCCATGAAAGCAGCCATATTTGTTATAGGTCTGGAGCGGTATTCTCGAGAGCCAGAACGGCAAGCGTGATTTCGTCATCAAGGACATCGACTACAACACAGTGGTAGCGGCTGGATCACAGGTTTGTCCAGGCTTCCAAGGTTTTACCAACTATAATCTGCTGCCCACGGCCACAATCACATTTATCCCAAATTTGGGCACCAAGAATGTCAATCCAGTTTCTGAAACGACTACTGCAGCTTCAACAACTACGACTACTGTTACGCCAACGACAACAACAACTGTTTCTGCAACAATAGCAACGACAACGACAGTTGCAACTACGGCAGTAACTGAAAATATTGTCACAGATGATACCACAGGTATTGCGATTTCTTTGTATTTTTGAATTTTTTAAGTTCCTGCTGACATCGAATAAGGCGATGGCCTACTTAACCAGAAGCAACGGGTTCGATCCCGATGTTACAACGTAATATCCCCTGGTCAGTGGTGCGAGACGGAGTAGCTGCCAAGGAACAGCATCTTCTCGTTTAGATGTTCACGTAAAAGATCCCTTGGTAGTTGGAATTTGAAATAAGAATTGACCGCAGCACCGCTGTCTGGGCAATATTTCCCTCATAGCACAATGTGTGACGTGTGTCTGATTTCATTAGCCCGGTATGTAGAAACATGTTAGGAAGATAGATTCTCTCTCTCTCTCTCTCTCTCTCTCTCTCTCATTAATTTAAAAATCAACTTTCAGTTTTTATGGTTAGATATACTCAATTATATCTCTCTCTCTCTCTCTCCCTCTCTCTCTCTCTCTCTCTCTCAATTACATTTCATTTCACTTCCTATGTACACGTTGGCATGCACGTAAAGGAACCAGTGACCGTTGGCTAAATTTCCCTCGAAGCACAATGCGTGGTCCATTCTGCACACAGAGAACTGTGTACTTTACTTCAACCGTTTTGTAATGCAGCCCTACTCCGTTTCACATCTGTTATACACAAAATGACCCCTAAACCGTTTCAATTTCATTAAATAAAAGCAAATATATAATACTCTAAATATACTTAGCGTCTTCGACTAAAATCGTCAATTTCACACTTAAAATGTCGGCCATTTAGCTTGGTGTCTGTTCTCAAGCGGAACTAATTGTAGATGCAGATAGTCAGCGTAAATTTAGTATGTGCGTGGTCATGTTGGTGCATTTCGTTGTATGCTGCTTCCCGGTCTATAGTATGTTTATCACACATTTATCATGTGATCCTACGTCATAAACCTATTGTTAGTTCTTTAATATAGGCTTTATGAAATATTAAAAAAGGTAACGTGAATTAGAACAACTAAGTAATGGTCCGGTCCAGGATGATAACATTGATATACCAAGTAATAAATATATTGTCAATGTGTCTAAGAGTCACAGAGACGCGGGTTTAATGTGCACTCGATACAAACTAGATCATTTCGGAACTAACGTATAGTTCGCTGTCTTTAACTGTGGGGAGAAACAGGAAGACCCGGAGAAATCCCTCGAGGTTTTATAAGTTGTCTGACCGAAATGAACTCGTTATTTTGGACCTTTTTCTTCAATATATTTGTTTTTCCAGACAATGTGTTCGACTATGATAGTGTGTTGGAAAAATCTATACTGTTCTTCGAGGCTCAGAGATCGGGAGCCTTGCCTAGTGATAATCGCATACCTTATAGAAACGACTCAGCCCTTGATGATGTTGGAACAAATGGTGAAGATCTAACAGGTGGTTGGTATGATGGTAAGAGGTTTTTATAGTCTCTTAAAATGTTGTTCCTATTGTAGTTTTGAGTTAGGACTAGGGGTATCGCACGGAAGGAAGGACGGATACGTTTGTATATACATGGATTTTAGACTATGAAAGCTTACATAAGATTTTATCTACGGTTGTTTTTAGACTGTTTGGATTAAAACCCAGGGTTGTTTTAGGACTGTATGGATTAAATTTTATCATTAAATTTGAGCTGTATTGCTGAAAACCTAAGTTTGGTTTTAGGCTGTATGGATTAAAACCTACGTTTAATTTTAGACTATACGTATGAAAACCTACGTTTGATTTTAGACTATATAGATGAAAACCGACGGTTAAATTTTAGACTATATGGATGAAAACCGACGGTTAAGTTTTAGTCTGTATGGTTGAAAACCTACGGTAAACTTTAGACTTTATGATTTTATTTATAGTGGATTTTAGCCTACATGCTTGAACGCTCACGTAAGATTTTATCTACGGTTGTCTTTGACTGTATGGATTAGAACCTACGGTTGATTTTAGACTGTATGGATTAGAACCTACGGTTGATTTTAGACTATATGGATTAACCGTAGGTTGATTTTAGACTGTATGGATTAGAATCTACGGTTGTCTTTGACTGTATGGATTAAAACCTACGGTTAATTTTAGACTGTATGGATTAGAACCTACGGTTGATCTTAGACTATATGGATTAACCGTAGGTTGATTTTAGACTGTATGGATTAGAACCTACGGTTGATTTTAGACTATATGGATTAACCGTAGGTTGATTTTAGACTGTATGGATTAGATCCTACGGTCGATTTTAAACGATATGGATGAAAACCTACGGTTCATTTTATCCTACACGCTTGGAAAACCCACGTAGGATTTTTTCTACGATTGATTTTAGACTATATGCTTGAATGCTCACGTAACTTTTGTAGACAATTGAAGTATCTACTAAAATTTGGATTTTATCTTTAGTTAAGATTTCGAGAAACAGGGGCCAGAGACTTGAATATTTGTATTTATCTTAAATGACGTAATAATTCAATTTTAGCTGGAGATTTTGTCAAATTTAATCTTCCTATGGCGTCTGCCACAACTATGTTGATTTGGGGATTGGAGAGATTCGGAGATGCTTATATGGCCGCTGAAGAACTGGATAACATGTACAAATCCATCAAATGGCCACTGGATTATTTTTTAAAATGTTGGAATCCGGATGCACAAGAATATTATTATCAGGTAATTTATTATATAGTTTTTCCTCCCAGTACGGAAGTACTGTAACCCAGGAAGCTGCCATTATGAACCATGACGTCATCAAAGTCTTGGTGAAACTGTGGTGCTCAATTAAACATGCGTGTCGATTGGAGCCTTAGTGAAACTGTCATGCTCAGTAATTGACCGCGCGTGTCGATCGGAGCCTTGTTCCTTTTATTGAATACGCGCCAAACCAAGAACAAACACGAAAAGATGATTACCAGTAAATCAACGCAGAGTCGATATGGTCAAGGGGAGGTAAGCGATCATAATGTGGGGCCTTCCCAGATATTATGAGAGGTTTATGAAGGTTTCGCTTTCTTTTCGCATTCCAATTCGCAGATAGACCTTGATTTTTGATCTAATCCAAATGCCTAGACTATTGCCGCTGTACGTTAATAATAAATATATCACAATATTTTAAAAACCCTACTGTTATACTCCTTGTCGTTATGCGTTAACAATAAATATATCACAATATTTTAAAAACGCTAGTGTCTCCTACAATGAAAGATAAAAAACGGACAAACTTTCCTTGAAATTCAAAAGGTTTTGATTTAAAATATGCTTGAACCAGCGTTATAGTCATTCACTCCACATTATTTGTAGGTTGGAAAGAAGCGCGGTGGGTGGATTTAGATCACAGAATTTGTCACTGATTCAAGTGGACTGGTTTAGTTTCCACACTTGTATGGACTCGCTGTATGACCGCCTATCCAGGTATCCCCAATTTTCTCCACAGCTAAATAAATTGAACCATATGTTAGTCCCGAAATGACCCTATTTATATCGAATGGACGTTAAACCCCATTTCTCTTCTCTCTCGCAGGTTGGGGATCCAGAAGCAGATCACAATTATTGGGGACGACCTGAAGATATGACGATATACCGTCCAGCATATAAACTCACCACAAGTGTTAAAGGAAGTGATGTAGCAGGAGAAACAGCCGCTGCATTGGCTGCTGGGTCAATTGTCTTTCAACTTGAAGGTAGGGGTCAATCGAATTAATAACTAGCATGTTTACTGATTAGTAGTTTACGTCTGCTTCCACAAAAGTGAGGTACGTGTTTGCAGAAAAGGTTTGAAGAACATGCAAGAACATGCCTGGGCTACATATTAGCCCTCTCGAAAGTGATATCCCAGACAAGCTCCCGAAAGGATATGGTCATTTAATTGATTCTAACCTTTACAGGATAAAATCTTTAAAAAAATACGTGTCAACGAATGTGGGAAAAGCTGATAATGAGCTTACACAAAGTTATTCCCCTTTCCACAGAGAAATGGGGTTTAAATTCCACTCACCAAAAATCCAGTTCATTTTCATTTCAATAATTCCGGAACAAAAACCAGATCCAATGCACAAGAACAAAAACCAGAACCAGTGCACAAGAACAAAAACCGGAGTACAGGGACAAAAACGGGAAGACAGTGACAAAGACTCAATATGTTAGCCATGCGACCCTACTCATTGTCACGAACATTCAACAATCATGGGATTAAGACCACGCTGCTTGACGCAATGATAGATCTGTGTTAGTGAAAGGAACCTGGTGAAGAAGATTATGTCTCGTTCTGCATCTGTGTTGAATTAGTCAATTCTCTTCCTAACTGTGGTCATTTAGATTGAACTTGAATCTCCCATTTTATATATTACTGCTTTCAGGTGCTGCTATAAGTTCATATATTAATGTATCAGGTGTTACCTATTCCCAAACACTGCTGACTGCTGCTATACGTTTATATATATTACTGCTTTCAGATGCTGCCTATTCCCAAACTCTGCTGACTGCTGCTATAAGTTTATATATATTACTGCTTTCAGGTGCTGCCTATTCCCCAAACACTGCTGACTGCTGCTATACGTTTATATATATTACTGCTTTCAGATGCTGCCTATTCCCAAACTCTGCTGACTGCTGCTATAAGTTTATATATATTACTGCTTTCAGATGCTGCCTATTCCCAACCTCTGCTGACTGCTTCTATAAGTTTATATATATTACTGCTTTCAGATGCTGCCTATTCCCAAACACTGCTGACTGAAGCTATAAGTTTATATACCTATGCTAAAACGTACACTGGTATCTATCCACTGACTGACTTCTACAAGTAAAGTTTTTGTTTTCTTCTTTGGCATTTTTCCTTGCCAGGTCTTTGTTCATTTCAATCCGGCACTGACCACTAACCGTCGACTCCTCAATTCAAGGGAGGTAAATCACTCCTATTGCTCTGCTGCGACTATTAATTCAACTTCAGCCTTTAAATCTATGGCATTTTTCATCCTGGAACGTTGTTTTTAACATTACTATAAAATCTTATAAAATCATGAATATTTACTAAACATTGGCAAAAAACGATCTAGACCAAGGTGCCTAGGGGTGGAAAATTTACAATTTACAAAATACATGGGAAATAATTACTGCTGATTGATTAATCAAGGTCTGACCTCATAGAGTCAAAAGCCGATCGTTTGACCTCTGACGCGACCTCCCACTACAACAGGCCAGATCTTCATGTAGTAGAGGCCATCGAAAGTATAAAACATGAAACAAAATATAGATCTGTATTTTTACCAGATTGAAGGAATTGCCAACAATATACAAAGTACATCGGAAAAGGGGGAAATAATTACTGGTCTGAGACCTGTATGGGGACTAGGTATACTGACTGAACTTGACCGTGTTATCTTGTTTTGTTTTTTTAGATCTAGTGGTTATCGTGATGAACTGTGTGTAGCTGCTGTATGGTTATATAAAGCTACTGGTGACAATAACTATTTAACAGAGGCTAAATCTTATTTCGATAACTTCGTTCCTTGGGCACAGTCATGGGATGAAAAGGCACCCGCGTGTCAGGTATTTTATTCAACTGGTCCCCAGTGGATCTTAGCCTATGTATCTGTAATTAGGTGCATGCATATAGTGACCAAACCATCCTGGCTCTCTTGTCAGGGGATGACATGGAAGATGTGCCTAGTTCTTCGGGTGGGACGATAAACACCGGTGTTCACCTAAAATAACCATTGACATAATGGAATTCAAAGAAATAGGCGGAAACAAGGATATTATGCTAACATTATCCCCCCTCGTGTTGTTACTTGATAGACATTTAATTAGTAATTGAACATATTAACACAAGGCACAATTTTATGGATACCCAATTACTGAGTTTGATACTAAGCGACGTTTACACGAGGATACTCTCATCTTTATCAAGCAAATGATACAGGTATGTGAATAGTAGACAGAATATGCAACTAAAATAACATTAAACACATTTAAAACTTTTAACCTTTGATTATACGTAGCGACAGACTGGTCTGGTGTTTTGGGGAGTCGCATTGTATTAAACTCAGCAGTTGTGTATCCATAAAATTGTACTTTATGTTAATTAAAATATTGGTCTCAAAATGAATGATGTCAAACCTCATTCCATTTCACTCCGTTCATATGAACCAGCTTTGAAATTCTTGTCAAGAGACCATTGTAATACCAACGCAGCCCCCTTTATTTGGCAGATAATAGGTTAGAATTGGAAAACAGCCTACGCCTATGGGCAACCGTTCTTCTAACATTAGGTTCCGGGAGCGTTTCGTGCATTGGCCGAGAAGGTTTCTCGTTATTTTTCAATGTGGTTTCATCGTGTCAGTAATACAAGGCAGAGGGTCTGGCAGGGAGCCCGGTCCAGGCATTCGTTTGCCCGTCATCATTAGCCCGGTTGGTGCGGAAAAGTGAGACGTTAAGCCCTTTGTAAGTTCATTAGCGTTTGGGGGTTAGGGATAGCCGAATGGTTAGCACGTGCGCGCTATATCATAAGGTCTGTCATTGAGTCAACTGGCGTGGTTTCGATTCCCCGGCTGTACGTGACAAGGAGTAATATCGCTTGTCCAACCTCGTGGGTTTTCTCCGGGTCAGCCGGTTTCCTCCCACTGCTAAACACCCCTACGCACAGGCGAATTACTGAAATAAAATTGAACCATATGTTAGTCCCGAAATGACCTAGTTTGTGTCTAGTGGGCGTTAAATCCCCTCTCTCTCTCTCTCTCTCTCTCTCTCTCTCGGTTTTATCCTTTTCCATACAAATTTTACATAATGCAACGCTCTATCCTTATTTTGTTTTAGTTGATGTTATTTGAAATCACGCAAGAGGCAGTCTATAAGAATGCGATAATCGACTTCTTCAGTAGTTGGATGTCAGGAGACGTACCTTATACTACCTGTGGATTGGCCTTCAGGGATGAATGGGGATCCTTAAGATATGCAGGTAACAAAACCCTGACCAATTTTTAAATTTTTTAAAGCATGAAGAAGATAAATATTTGGTAATTTTATTAACACAATGATCACACTACATGAAATTTACACTTGCACCTTCCTTACTTTCACTGGTGCAATGGTCTTACTGCCAGTAGGCTGTGGGGTGGATAGCCGAATGGTTAGTGCGTGCGCGCTGTATCATAAGGTTTGCCATTGAGTCAACTGACGTGGTTTCGATTCTCCGGTTGTACGTGACAATGAGTAGGGTCGCCTGTCCAACCTCGTGGGTTTTCTCCGGGTCCTTCAGTTTCCTCCCACTGCTAAAGACCCCTACGCGCAAGCGAACTATTGAAATAAAATTGAACCATGTGCTAGTCCCGAAATGACCTAGTTTGTGTCGAGTGGACGTTAAACCCCATTTCTCTCTCTGTCTCTCTCTCTCTCTCTATCTAATCACCCATAAAGTCTCTTTAAACCCTTTAAATTAGTACTTGAAATTTCGTCTGTTTTATATTTCAGCTAATACAGCTTTTCTAGCCTTGTTGGCAGCTGACGATGGTATTAACCCCAACCAATACAGAGAATGGGCTATATCACAGATTAACTATATACTAGGTGATAATAAACTAAACATGAGTTATGTCATTGGCTACTCAAACAGTTATCCCCTGCGTCCACATCACGCCTCAAGGTAATTATTGAACCACGATCCCTGGCAGGGGCCGCCAAGTACTTCTTGTCTTGTTACTAGTATTGCTGTTGTTTGGGGGCAACGCTTTTCGAAAAAAGTTAAAGGCGCACCAGTTCATGTAGGATTAGTGGGTGGAAACAGCCTTGTCCGAGCAAATGTCCCTGATTGCATAACGCATGGCATATACCCGTCTTCATTGAAATGAGATGAGATGGGGTTTAATGTCCTACTGTTCTGCTCCGACTGGGTTAATGAAGACGGGCATACGCCATACAGTGTGCTATGAGGGAAATTTTGCCCGGCAGTGGCACTATGGTCTGCTCTTATATCGAATTCCAACTACCAAGGGATCTTTTACGTGCACGCCAATGTATACACGGGTCTTCGATTTTTCGTCCCATCCGATTTACTAGACAGCTGTCCTTGTCAGGCACCACTGACAATAGGAAACCACGTCGGAAAATCCTGATTAACTTTCTTGGTCAATGCAGGGATCGAACATGCAACAACCGGGATAGCGAGCCAGCAGCGTCTTACACACTTAACCACCGTGGCTCCCAGGTTGCACTAGACAATCATAAAGTTAAAACCTCCCTTCATTTAGGGGGGATGGCTGAATGGTTAGCGTGCGCGCGCTGTATCTGTCATTGAGTCGACTGGCGTGGTTTCGAATCCCCGGTTGTACGTGGCAAGGAGTAGGGTCGCCTGTCCAACCTCGTGGGTTTTTTCCGGGTCCTCCGGTTTCCTCCCACTGCTAAAGACCCCTACGCGCAAGCGAATTATTGAAATAAAATTAAACCATATGTTAGTCCCGAAATGACCTAGTTTGTGTCTAGTAGACGTTAAACCCCATTTCTCTCTTCTCCCTTCATTTAATTATTTCAATTTATTTTTGTCCTTGTAAATGTCCTTTCATTCTAGCTCATGTCCGCTAGAAGGTACCTGCGACTGGAGTAACTTTCATTCTTCAGATCCTAATCCCCAGATTCTATACGGTGCCTTGGTTGGAGGACCAGATATAAATGATAGTTATGTAGATGATAGGACAAGATACGAGTTCAGTGAAGTGGCCTGTGATTACAACGCTGGATTACAATCGGCAATAGCAGGTTTGTGGTTTATAAATCAGTTGGAAATCAGATTTAACTACCAGGAAATGGTGTTCCAGAGACTTGGTACTCTTCTTGTTGTCTCTCTTCTAGGGGGCGTTACACTTCTAGGAGCGACACTCTTCTAGGCGGTGATACACGTCTACGGGCGGCACTCTTAAAGGGGTAATACTCTTTTAGGGGGTGATACTCTTCTAGGAGCGACACTCTTCTAGGCGGTGATACACGTCTACGGGCGGCACTCTTAAAGGGGTAATACTCTTCTAGGGGGTGATACTCTTCTAGGAGCGACACTCTTCTAGGCGGCGATACACGTCTACGGGCGGCACTCTTAATGGGGTAATACTCTTCTAGGGGGTGATACTCTTCTAGGAGCGACACTCTTCTAGGCGGCGATACACGTCTACGGGCGGCACTCTTAACGGGGTAATACTCTTCTAGGGGGTGATACTCTTCTAGGAGCGACATTCTTCTAGGAGCGACATTTTTCTGGGGGGCGACACGCTTCTACGGGCGGCAATCTTCTCTCGGAGACGCCACTTTTCCTGAGACGACACTCTTCTTTAGGCAACACTCTAAGTAAAAAAGAAACCCGAGGCCCTGAAAATTCAGGCACAATGACATGAAACTTGGCATGCTTTAGACGGACATCGATTTTGATATGATGTCACAATTTCAAAATGGCGCCGATGACGTGACGAATCGAGGGCGGTGCTTCTTTATAATATTATGATTGGTATTTTTAAAATATTATATTCATTGTAGTTGTATACCATAAGGGGTGGGGTGAGGCGAATGGTCTAACACGTGCGCTTTAAATCATAAGGTCTGTCATTGAGTCACATGGTGTGGTATCGATTCCCTGCGTGTACGTGACAAGGAGTAAGGTCGCCTGTCCAACCTTGTGCGTTTTTTCCCGGTCTTGTGGTTTCCTCAAACTACGAAAGAACCTTTTGCGCAAGTGAATTATTAGAATTTAATAATTGAACCTGATGTTAGTCCCGAAATGACCTATTTGTGTTGAGGGAAAGTTAAACAGTTAAACTCTCCCTCTCTCTCTCTCTCTCTCTCTCCCTCCTAACGACCCTATTGCGCAAGTGAAAAATTTAAAATTGAACCTTATGTTAGTCCCGAAATTACCTATTTTGTGTCGATTGGACATTAAATCCCATTCCTCTCTCTCTCTCTCTCTATATCATAGTTATGTTAACAACTCTACTTTTGTTTTCAGGCATTGTGAGTCTCCACGAGAGTGGTTCTTTACCAGCTGTTGCTTTAAGGGACTGTTAAAAGGTATTTGGTGAATAAACATATTTACGTATCCACACCTTGTTCATTTATTTGTTGTAAAAATAATATGTTTTAAAATTATCTATTTGACAATCCAAATGAGGGAAATACTTAACTGGTCTATATGCATCCCCTAGAATAAGCAAATGAGAAAATAGGGAGGTAGGGCAGGGTAGGGGTGGCGAGGGGCGTGATGGTCCGGGGTGGGGTCACCGTCAAGTTTGGCGTGAAGTTTATAAAGTGTGTTTATCAACACAGAAATTAAATTGCATTGTAAATAATAAAAAAAACGTGTAAATGTACTGACCAAAGAGAGAAGTATATACATTTTAATTGGCAAGAGTGTATGTTTTTATTGTGCGGCGATAGCGGCACGCCCAGGTGCAAACGACTAAGCACATCTATTGTTGCCAGTATTGCAACACTTTCAATTGCTGTGAAATACCGTACAGAGTCTTCAAAATAACATATTGTCTATAATACTATATAATATTAATTATCTTACCCTAGAATTATATCTTATTAATACCATATCTTAGAATTATATCTTATTAATATCATATCTTAGAATTATGTCGTATTAATATCATATCTTAGAATTATATCTTATTAATATCATATCTTAGAATTATATCTTATTAATATCATATCTTAGAATTATATATTATTAATATTATATCTTAAAGTGTATATTATTAATATCATATCTTAGAATTATATCTTAATAATATCATATCTTAGAGTATATCTCACTAATATCATATCTTATTAATAATATAGCAACATTTATAAAGCGCATTAACACAATAATTGTCAAGTTTCCAAAGTGCTGCTGATTCCATTATATATTTCTAAACAGAAATATCTTGAGTTAGGATATGAAGATGTGCATTAATGATATAAACAGAAAACCTCAGATGCAATTCTGCCCCTTCCAACCCCAGTATTTCTATTTTCTGCCCCCCCCCACCCCACTACCATCACCACCATCACCACCATCACCACGCCCTTATATGGACCTGTGTATGAGCCACGCACCACACCAGCAGTAAACGTTCACCGTGGAAGTTCGGCAAATACACGTGCGGAGAGAAGATTATCTTGGTCATTTTCAGTTGATTTTACTTTTTTTTTCTCATCATCGTCAAAGTCATCATCACCACTTATATCATGGTCATTAAGTAAATACATTAGATGATAAAAGTGTCAAGACTCTTGGTATAATAAAGATCAAAATAATATGGGTCTCTTACTATACGTTGAGTAGACTAAAATAATATATCGAATATACTCTATAAAGTATGAGAAGTTGATAATTATAACCCATCTTAGATACCCATCTACCTGTTTAATACATCAAATACAGTGAAATGGACTTGTTCAAATAATGAACTACCAACTTGTTTTCGTACATCATTTTTTGGGATGAATACGGCGGTTCCCTAAGCAAAGAAGGGTGTGCGATAAAAGCCTAGTATTAGAAGGAAAAAAGGCCTATTATATCCCCAAAAATGGATTAAGAGTGTTTGCTCCTTGACACTAAAATACACACAATGTCAACAGATGTATAATTAGACTTTTATTTTTTTAGAAAATGTATCACAAAAGTGTCCATTTTAAACAGATGAATGCAATATGAATGGAATATTTGTTAAATGAAAAATGTAGGATTAATCTATAATAATTCTGTTTGTTTTTCGTATATTTCATCGTCCAATAGAAATGAAGATATAGTTAATACCGAATTCATAGACGACTTCCTTTAAACTTGTTTTACCCTAAGGCATGAGCTAATATTAGTAAGTTATTAAAAGAGGGTTCAGAAAAAAAAGTTCGAGCTTCAGTCACTACAACGCGATGAAGCCGTTTCGCCCGAATATTTCGATTTTATTAGTGATTTTCATATTGATTGGATTTAGTTCGGGATGGTTATTCAGTTCCGATTCACAAGGTAATGATTTTATCAAGTTTTGAAATATTTTTTAGTTTTTATAATTCAGAGATTGGTTGATTTACGGAAATCTATTCTAAAAGGAAGATATGGATGTTTACCTTATCGTGGAAGACTTTAAGGGTCAACCAAATAAAAAAAAAAAATTCTGATTATCTCGTGATTACGAACTAACTAAATAATTTTAAGGTCGCCATACAATAACCTAACACGGACCGTACTTTGTTTTACCGGAACAAAAATGAATATGGCAATTAATGTGACTAGCGATAAGTTGAAATGAAATGGAATGTGTTTAACGTCTTATTGTTCTGCTCCCGCGATAGGTTGAAATCAGTGCATTCATTTTATATGCTCCCATTGCTATCATTCATTAATTTCATGGTGTTATTAATATCAGGGTTGCATTTATATCATTGCCTCATTAATATTAGGATTTCATTAATATCAGCTTGCTTAAAGGACTTTAAGACTAGACGGCGCTAAACCAAAACGGCCCAAAAAAGTGGTCAAAACGATGTAATCTGAGGGTCATTGTGGCTAAGTGGGTAAGACGCTGGCTCGCTAATCCGGCGTGGTTCCCCCTTGTCAGTGATGCAGAACAGAGGGCCTGACAAGGACAGCTGTCTAGTCGTTCGGATGGGACGAGAAATCGAGATCCCATGTATACATTGGTGTGCACGTAAAAGATCCCTTGGCAGTTGGAATTCGATATAAGAGTAGGACGTAGCGCCGCTTCCCTGGCAAAATTAATTTCCCTCATAGCACACAGTATGGCGTATGCCCGTCTTCATTAGCCCAGTATAGGAGCAGAACAGTAGGACGTTAAACCCATTTCATTTATTTAATCTGAATCGAATTATATTTAGATGAATATCGCTGCCCCGCCGCTGTCCGTATAAAATTTCACCCATAGCACACTGTATGGCGTGTGCCCGTCTCCATTAGTGTAGAACCGGTGTCAAAATTCTCTTTTGTGAAGGTTTCTAATCGAGAGATATATAAAGGGGGTTATAATTCCGAATTATATTTTTATAAATTTCAACACGTTTCTTCAAGTATTTAAAATTAAAAGCCATAACATGCCAGTATAAAGTTTACACACACAAGACTATAAACAATCAAACGTACTTATGTTTAAAAACATTTTAGTATAAACATTTTACAAATCGATCAATTCTAACAGACATTATAGCCATTTTGGGGTTGGGGGGGACGTGGCGTTGTGTCATAAGGTCTGTCATTGAGTCAACTAGCGTGGTTTCGATTCCCCTGTTGTACTTGACAAGGAGTAGTGTCGCCTGTCCAACCTAGTGAGTTTTCTCTGGTTCCCCCCCCCCCACTGCAAGCAAATTATTGAAATAAAATTGAACCGTATGTTAGTCCCAAATTGAGCTAGTTTGTGTCGAGTGGACGTTAAACCTCATTTTTTCCTTTCTCCGTTAGGTCATACGGTCTATCATTGAGTCAGCGTCGTGGTTTTTCTCCGGGTTGTCCGGTTTCTCCGTCTTCATTTTAAGTTTACTTTGACGTATAATAATTTCACTTCGTCATCTTTAACTTTCTGAGAAAATTATAGTAATAATAATTATGCTACACCTTTCCGTACATGCCAGACGTGTATTATTACATAATTACAACATTTACATTATGAGCGAAAGAGAGAGAGAGAGAGAGAGAGAGAGAGATTAAATTTAAAAATAAAAAACAAAAACAGAAAAAAGAATATTTTAGCTTATATGCATGTAATTATGATTAACACTAGGCCATATCGGGACTGACATATGGTTTAATTTTATTTCAATACTTCGCTTGCTCGTAGGGGCCTTGAACAGTGTGATAAAATCTGAGGACCAGGAGAAAACCCCACTACTTGTCACGTACGAGTGGAGATTCGAAACCACGCCACATGACTCAATGACACGCCTTATGATGCAACGTACACGCGTTAACCATTCGGTCACCAAGCCAACACCCAAATGTACTGAATACAGTGCATGAATAAATGAAATGAATTTTTATGGCACGTCAACCATATTTTGAAATACGGAGCAGGTTAAATTATTTCACATAAATAAAAGTTACATTCCAATAAAAAAAATATAACAGGAGTTCAAAAATTAAATAAATCTAGAGCTTTGCATATAAATATTTCAAATATAAAAATGAAATGATAGATTTATAAACAATTAAAATACAATAATAAAAACCTGTCTCGTTTTAAAAAATCCAGTGTCTTACAATATAGCTTACTCCTCGCAGTGTTTCATTTGATTAGACCTAATCCCACTGAGAGATTTCCCAGGCCATTGTTTCAGGAATATGACAATATATGGGAATAACCTTATAGGAGATCAGAATATTCAGGACCATTGTTCAAACGTTGTTCTTGTTAAACAACTGTAATATTCAGTTTTTAAAACAATCCGTAATGAACTGGGCCCTATAATAAGGTCGCGCAGCCATTTTACAAAAATACGTGTCTATATAATTTACTCTGTGACGTCAGATTTCCCATATTAGAGGTGTTAGGACTTATATGTTGACCTGTAGGTTGCGATCCGTCCTAATCTACTTAACGTCGGGGTCACCCGATGGCATCAAGAGTTAATTATGTAATATCAATAAATGTCTAATCAATAATTTATATAACACTTAAGGCCCAAAGAAAAAACCTGCAATAGGCAGATTTAGCTTTTACATATTGCATTTAAGGTCACATAAAATAAAGCCATATGTACTATCGGCATCTAAAACACGAATGACACTATTTTTTAAATATTTGAAAAATTTGTCTCCACCCAATGAAAACATAGTTAATAAAGACATAAGTGTGTGATAAGTACATATATAAATAATTTTATAAAGAAACATCTTTGCTACAATTTCAGGTTGTCGCAAGGCGCATTATCCAAAAGTTGTTATTTTATATTATGTACAAATGATTTTAAAATAGACTATGACCACTCTAAGGAACAGCATATTATAGAATAGATTACTGTGCTAAATCTGTAACGGGGTGTGTTTCCATTGACACAATTTGTTAAAAGGCGCGTCTAAGCTCTACCCATTTACAATC